GTCATCCACCACACTTTTGACGGTAGTCCTTCTTAAGTACAGTAGACGGGCCGTTTCCGGGATGGGTAGTTTCATTTTCATCATACACTCAGTCTCACGAATCAACTGGATCAGTTGAGGATCACAGTTCACGTACAGCTCACCAGTATCTGGATGCCGAACTAGCAGAGACGCCTGAAGTCCTAAAAGACATAAACACCCACAACGTTGGTCTTCCATTTTAGAACATGCACGAGATTTGAACAGTTATCGATAACCAATTTTCCACAGCAATTCTTTACGACTGAAAAAACATGATGCCTTTCAACACACCCACTTTGTCTTATAATTCGAACGCGTGTCACCGTGTGCAATTAAACAACGTATCCATTTTTGGTGAGAAACTTAAGTTGCACGTAAAACGTTCTGCAACATGCATTTGCGCATTACCTAATNGGCACTCTAACTATTGAGCTACGAAGAGACGCAATGATCTAGGCCATTTACTTAGTTCAAATGTTAGTGTCATTAACTGGATTTGATTAATTAAGGCTTGTTTTTTTTTAATATTTGCAAGGAAAGGCAAATTAATTACTGTAACGTTTCTCAAGTAAACTGCAAATTAACATCTACAACGTGCTGTAGAAGTCATAATACCCTGCATATTTGCAACCGGTATCAACTTTCTGCGCAGCGAGTTGCACTACAAAGGTCACAAGTGCGTAACAGCCACAGTGCATAGTACATACCTGTCTTAGCAATTTCCACTTGCTTAAGCCAACCTTTGTGATAAAGAATTTCAAATTCGACCAGTACAGTTGCCAGCTGATTAAAGTGGCAGATAATTTTAATTGCCTCTTGCGTCTTCAGACAACTTGGATGACGCTCGAATATGTCCATTGGATTACGAATGCGCCTCATGAGCTGACGAGCCCAGCTAATTCGACCGGAGATAGGCGGGAAATCACGGTGCACGGGGGGATTTTCACAGTTCCGTTGGTACATCTGCAGCAATAGAAAGGAAGGCATTGGAGAACATGTACCGACATAATACGTGGATGTCACTTTGACGTGTATGTGTGATCCTATGTAGCATACATGTTGTTTTGTGAAATTTTGTTGTATGGATTTGCGATTTGTGGACCTGCTGTCAACATCACAAGCCAGGATGCAAAAAGTGCTTCGAAACAACGAACTCGAGGCTCTCCGGTATTGAAGAGAAACGCAACATACTTTTAGCTATACTTCCCGAGTTGGAAACATATAAAAAGAGGATTAATCTTCTTGAAAAAGAAAACAAAGCCCTGCAAACGAGCTTGGAGATCGCAAGCAGAGATCGAGGCCCTAAAAGCCATTGTTAATGATGCCAATTTCAAGCAAGAAGCGGCCAACACCTGCAGTGAATGCACCGAGCGCATGTACTTTGTTCAAGTACATGCGTTATGTAATTATCACTAGGAGGAAGCCATGTTTGTCTATTGCCGAAGCCCAATGTTGCCTTTCAGCGCCAATTTATTAGAAAGTTCGGAATATAAAACTTTGTAAAATA